GAGACCGCACATTTCTCGATCACGAAGTTTCAAAGTAATGATACATATCAAGTTAGAAATATTTTTAATTATTGTTTGGTTAGCTAACATGCCAACTATGAAGCTGTAGAACGCAATAGATGATACTGCATCGAGGTTTCATATTCAACTAATGCATAAATTCACAAGTGTTCTTGTTTTTCAAAAAAAAAAGAAAAGCCAGTGAAGTACGCACAATGTCGCGGAGACCACATTTTCGATGGGAGGCGAAATGATTGATGACCTTGTACTTATATCTAGATGCACGTTAAAGAACACCAGGTGATCGAAATTTACGGAGCTCTTCTCAACGGCTTTCCTCATGATCCTATGGTGGTTTTGGCACGTAAAACTTCAAGTATTATTATTATCAACATGCGCTATAAAACGTATACGAAAACGCAAGCAAGCCTTGACAGATACAAGCGCTTATTCAGTCATAACCATTTTCTTCAGAACATATCAATTGCACCATGCATTTTACTTATGAGTAATATGAAGTAATCAACGAATATTAATCGGCGTAACATGGACCACACCTTAACCTTGCGCGTTGCTTATTAAATCTGCTTTTTCGTAACAGAATAGGAACTGATATGCCGATGCAGACGGCATACATAATTCAAATAGGCGCAAATTAAAATAGACGCATGCTCCTTAATTAGCTCGGAGCCACGTGACGTAGTTTGGTACGTCACGCATTACGTCATACCACTGTCCATGTATGGTAATCTGCTGTTGAGTAAATGCAATTTACTAATCAGGGTAAATGCAATTCGATTGATATGTGGGGTTTAACGTCCCCAAACCACCATATGATTATGAGAGACGCCGTAGTGGAGGGCTCCGGAAATTTCGACCACCTGAGGTTCTTTAACGAGCACCGAAGTCTGAGCACACGGGCCTACAACATTTCCGCCTCCGTCGGAAATGCAGCCGCCGGGTAAATGCAATTCGCGAATTTGCTATACAGCAGGTAGTCAACTTTGGTACCTGAATTTGAGTATCTTTAGTCACTGACGGTACACTAGGCTAGGCGGCACCACGCTATGGCTCTGATTACAACAATGTGGAGCCCGCTTTCGACCCGACCCAGAGCACTCGTGTTGCAGCCGAATACACAGCCATTCACCATTGCAATCGGAGGACAGTAGAAAAAAAAAACATGTTCATTTTTGCAACAGCGTACACGATGAACTACACCAAAGAAGGCTTAGCAACAAGAGCACTCGCTGACAACTGAGTAATTTTTTCCAACGAAAGAGACATAGGTGGCGCGCGCATGTTTCGTTCCTTGTTTCCTCTCTTTTTCTGGTTTGTTTGAATTAAGCAATGTCAGCGATAGTGTTGTCTTCTTTTGTGTCTCTCGTCCTTGGCGCTATTTCAGAAACGAACCCCCTACAAACAAGCCCCAATATTCTCCCCATTGCCACAGAAAACAAGTCTACCAGGTCTTTTGCTGCAAACAGAAGCCAGTTGACGCCAGCTCCGCGTGAACAGATGCAAGTCACACTCCAAGATATAAGTAAGAGGGCCTCAGAGCGCCTCGAGTCGGAACCAGGCGCTTTGAAAGAACCGGCGTAACGTACTCAGCAGAGCACTCCATTTCGACCAGCCGAATGTGACGCCCCTGTCCTCTGGAGCACTCGAGTTCTCAGGAGGGCTCGAAAACGACATGTACAAAGAGCACACCAACCTGGCACTCGGTTATTTCTGGGTACTCATCTCAAAAGGTGTCCCTATAAGGTTCTGCAAAGGCCCCTGGGCCTACCTTGACCCCCACAGCCTTGGTGAAATAGTTGAGAATCCACCGCTGCTGTCTAAATACTGGATAAGTAGGCACAAGCGCACTTCTGGCCTGGCACTTGGCAGAAGTAAGTTATAGTCGCTCGGGAGGGCACCCACTCCGCGGGAAACTGGCGCAATGGAACCGCCAGACCTAAAATTGGGGTCATTATCTTTTACTCAATTTCGTCGCTAGAAATCACCGTTAAAACGAAAAAATAGCAGCAGTGACAAGTGACCTGTATTAGTGAATATGTCAGCATCAGGTAATATAAAGGCTGTCACAGCTGAATGGCTGCGTGCTGAGCATGAACTTCCCGCAGCGGGAAAATGACAAAGTGTCTCGTTAAAAGTAGGGCGGCCTGATAAGCTGGAATACTTTCTCGGAGTTCTCTTTGTTTAATTTTGTGCAGCATCGATGCGCAACACCGACAGCGCTATCTGCCAGCGTCTGGTGCGCCTACAAGTCCGTTTGCGTTTAGCGCATATCTGTCCAGCGCTGTATGACATTTGTTCCGCGTATTGTTTAGTGACACCGAACTCATGCGCAATGTCGGAGCCTTTTATTTTTTATCGCTGTCAGTATGACCGTCGTGAAAGTGATTTAGTTGAGCGCAATGGCTGATTGTCAGGTTTTGCAGCCACATTCAGATACGGGGTACGATGTGCGATTATTCATTGCTAAAACAAACAAAGACACGTCAAAGTTTCACCAGCAAGCGCGAAGCAATTATGCAATAGAAACAAACTGAAATGCCATAAGAACTAGCAGCGAACATGGCTGCTGCAACGAGAACTGACCTTCATGCAACCTATCGCTTCATCACAAAGTTAGCGACGAAAGCACGCAAAACGCTCGTAGATAAGACTCGGTCATTTATTGAACGCAGCTTGGGGCCATATGATGTGGGTTCAACAGATGTAGGTCAAGGTACAGCATAGGCGTAAGCTGTGTTTCTCTTTAAGGGGGGTGGGTGATTGCGGCAGCACCTCTTTTCTATTAGGTCATTTCATGGGGCTGACTAGCACCCTACTTGTCTTAGGTGAGTAGGGAGCGGCTGCGTCTTTGCCTCCCCTTTCTACCAGTGCCCATGCACACGCCTATGAGAAACGGGACCGCACGTGGTACGCAGCTTAACCCACCCGATTCCGGTGCAAGACCAGTGGGACGATGCCCTTTACGTCGCTCACTACGACCCTTCGCGACATGTCGCAGGTAATGGTGAACATATCCGTGCCACTCTTAAGCACCTCAGCGATCTGCCTACCACCTGCGGTAACGTAGTGCAATAATGGCACGCCGTTAGAATGTAAGAAGGTGTATGCCTTCGTGGTTGAGCCGTTTAACACACTTGACGGGATGTAAGAATGGGCTTCTCGGGGAGATGCCATCGTGAAACTTGTGGCGTACGAAACGGACACGGACGCGGGTTCGAATCCCACTTGGACACGAACGACCCTGGTTCGGTCCCCACACTGCCAGACTTTTAATTTATTTTATTTGCGTCGTGCTCGACTTTTCGGTCACTAATAAGATGACAGTTCTTCGATCACAGAGACCGACGCCGGCGCTGGAATTTCTACGACACGAGCTCTTTAACGCTTTCGCGTTAATAGCGAGTGTTCTCATCATTCGGCCGTCCAGCACACTGTCAGAGCATCGCAGAGCATAGCAGAGCCTTGCATAGAATAGTACCGCAAGACGGTAGCAAATACAGCTGAGGAGAAATGAAAAAAAATGAGAGAGGAGAACGAATCAGAAGAGAGAGAGAAATTTATAACAAGGCAAGAAAAAGAATTGATTGATTTGATTTATTTGTGGGGTTTAACGTCCCAAAACCACCATTTGATTATGAGAGACGCCGTAGTGGAGGGCTCCGGAAATTTTGACCACCTGGGGTTCTTTAACGTGCCCCCAAATATGAGTACACGGGCCTACAACATTTCCGCCTCCATCGGAAATGCAGCCGCCACAGCCGGGATTTGATCCCACGACCTGCGGGTCAGCAGCCGAGTGCCTTAGCCACTAGACTACCATGGCGGGGCGGCAAGAAAAAGAAGGCGAGAGGGCGAAAGAGCGACAAGACAGAGAGAGAGATAGAGATAGAGAGAGAAATAAGAACGGGAAGAAAAATATATAAATATATATATATAAATAAATATATAAATAAATATATAAATATATAAATAAATAGAAATTCACCTTTGCCTGCTGATCTTTTTTCAATTCCTAAACGCAATACGCGACATGCTTCGAATGGTAATTTCAATCTGCCCAAATGTTTTAATGTTTACGGAGAAAGACTGATACAGTTTAGTGGAACAAAAATATGGAACACGGTCCCCCTAGAGATTAAAACGGCACGTAATTTCAGCATGGCATGTAATCATTTTTTCTGTGGAGTCAAGACATGTAAGCATGTGTGTGTGATTCGATTTTCATTGTATTTTTTTAATAAGTGCCTATGTATAGAAACTAGCTGCAAGCTAATAAGTATGCATATCTGCAAGAAAAAATGTATTACTGTGTTATCTGTATCACATGATTGTTTTTTTATGTTGTTACCTCAGAGCTGACCTGTACACTTTTTTATGTTGCACATTGTATTGGACCGTCCACTAGCCACTTTAGGCTATCGGTCCAAATAATCCCTGTAATTGCATATATCTATTTATGAAAATAAAGCTTCATTGATTGATTGATTGATTGATAAAGATAGAAGGCAAAAAACCGACTACACTAAAAGGGAGATAAACAAAGAGATAAAATGAAAGAGAATAAAAGAGAGAAAGAGAGAGAAGAACCGAGTTACAGATGAAGAAAACTGATTAGACAGGAAGAAAAAAAGGTTGGGACGAAACGGAGAGATGGAAGGCGATTGCTTGATATGTGGGGTTTAACGTCAGAAAGAGAGAGATAGAAGATGAGCGAGCGACTAACAGAGTAAGAGAAATCGAAAAAGAAACGCATACAAAGAAAGACAACAAAACAAAACAAAGGAAGTAGAAATAGAAAGAAAAAGCCAAAAAATAGAGACGGAAATGTATCATCATCATTTATACAGTTGATGCAAAAAAAAAACAAACACAAGAGGGCAAAAATAATAGAGATACAGTCGCCATGTATAATATAGTATCGGGCACTGCGCCGTGCTCCCGACCGGGTTGCAGAAATTAGGTCTTGATCTTGATACATAATGACGCTCTTGGCCAAAGTGAGTACTTCATAGGGCAGCTGCTCGCGTATCTCAGGTGACAATAAAGTGAGTACTTCATAGGGCAGCTGCTCGCGTATCTCAGGTGACAATGCGAGAGAGCAAACAACATGGCATCATTTCACCTCAGGTTTCACCACAACATATCAGTTCATTATCTCCTCCAATGCACAGTACCTAGCGCACACCATACAGATAACCTCCGAGACTGGTAATTGGAACACTGAAAGAGTTTCCACACGAGTTGCATTCATTTTACTATTATTGTCCCAAGTACTGGCGTTGAGATCCACGAAAAAAAATATCCAGGTGTCTCGGAATGCACTCAATATATTTCTAGTGCTGCATCTTCAAAAAAAAAAAAAACCTTCAGGTTTCAAATCTACGCCTTTGTGTAAAACGATTTGTTAAGAATGTCGCAAAAAGCACCACACGTGGACTTTACTCGGATGACTTATGGCTATTTTAAGAAAATAACATTTGCAATAAATGCAGCTGAAAGTACACCTGAATGAGTAAACTTCGATGGCCTTTCACTCTGAGGCTGCGAGCTTGATACATCATCGTAATTTATGTACCGTTAAGCGAACGTAAATGTACCTTTAGAGGAACACTATAGAGCAAAACGATTACTCGCTTAATAGTAAAGTACCATTTCACACTGCCGCAAAAACCATTATTACTGCGACACGACGCTTGGTAAGCGAGAAAACGCGTGAAAAGAAAATGCGAGTCGAGACGCCAGCTTGAGACTCTCGCACCAAACAACGTGACGTCATAGATTTTGAAGGCGTCTACTAGGCTCTACGTAGCTTCTAATAAATAAAAATGAATTTAATTGCCACCTGTGAATGCCATAGACCTAGCATACGAAGTTTCAGCAAATGTCATCAAGCCAATGTTGCTAAAATATGAAAAATGCACGTGAAAATTGTATTCACGCACGGAGATTTCGGCGCGAAATTTGAAAATAAATTTCGATTTTCTCAGCTAATAGTGAACTTATGATAGTGGAACATATGGCATTGACGTTATCATAGTGAAATTTCTGAACCTAAACCAAAGCATTGTTTCTCTGTAGTGTCCCTTTAATGGGCATTGTATGTGTGGTTATCCCTTGTCGGCACCACGGAGAATATGAAGTGCTTCATGGTGAGTGCGAACAAATAATAACCACCATTCACAACCTTAAAGCACATAAACAAAGCTTGTTAGAACAGTTATTGAGACACGACTAAAACAAGTACGCAAATGAGAAAACCGATAAACGCCAAAAATGAGGGGGGGGGGGGGGAGCTACTGCTGGGGCTGCCGAGAGTAGTGTTCTAGTAATAATCAAGTGCTTCACTTTTACACAACTTTTCTCACTCCTGACTTTGTCCAGAAGCACATAATATTCTGTTATTAAAAGTAGTGCAAAGTACACATACAGAAGTGGGGAACAGAAACACGTCACTGACTATATCAACTGAAATTTATTTGAAGAACGCAACACCATCGACGGCGAGGCCATCAATAGGGTTCCTTAAGTATACCTGTGTGCACGTTCTTCAAACTAATTTCCGGTAATGGCCAACGTGGTGTTTCGGCTTTCCTTTTGTTTCTTTTGCGCTACATTCTATAATGCAATCATAACAACTCGTAAAGCAAGAGAGCCTTGTAAAGTACATTACAATACGATGAGGCAGTCGACGGAAACGACGCGCTGGCAGCGTTAGCCGAACAGTGATTTCGTTCAACGCTTTATTTATTTATTTATTTTATTTTATTGATACTGTAAGCCTTAACAGGCTCATACAGGAGTGGGAAGAAATTATACAGATTGTCATTTTCACATTAGACCACACACACAAAAAAAAAAAACAATAAAGCGGACGTTGTGATGATCTAATGGGTGATCTAATGGGCGGACAAGAAAGCGGACGTTGTGACGATCTAATGGGTGCACGGTAGGATTAAACGTTTGCGTTATTGCTCAAACGTTGTAAAGGCAGCTTATGGAGAAGTGAGATTCGCCCCTTTCATTTCCCGTTACACATTCCTCTTTCGAAGCATGTTCGCAACAAATCGGCATGCGGAACAGCCGAGAAATATCGATGACGACAGAACGAGGATCAACTACGGTGACTTGTTCTCTTACCGATTAGGAAGTGAGTGGTGCCAGTATCTTATCGGCGTACCGCGATATATATGTGAGATACGAAAAACACAGGGTTGATGCGTCGCGTAAGCCAACACTTGCCAGGTGGAGAGGACAGAGCCAGTTGCTTCAACTTCTGTTAACGGCCCTGAATACCGAAAGGTATGTATAAACCACGTCTTTTGCGGGCGAATCGTGGCAATCCGCGCGTGCGAAAAACAAAAGAAAGTGTGAGGACGCTCGAGCCTCACGAACTCGATAGCGTTATCAGGCCCCGTTCGCACATCCTTCTCGATCGATTGCCCAGCTTCGCTACTCGGTGCAGACCAGCACCTGTCCATTCCGTAATGAAAGTAGCACCCGTGCGAGTGACGTTGGCCGTTTAAAATTATCCCAGAATGCTTACTGGAACTATAGTTGCGAAATGCCCACTATAGACCACTTATGGTGCATTCAGATGACGGACCGAATCCGGATTTGTCGTGGACGCGGACAGCTAATCCGCGGATGGTCCGCCTGCAGGCGCATCCACACGACGGACGGTGTCCTAGGGAAAAACAGCCGGATTACCCTCGACAGCAGATTCGGCGCTCACCTGCGCCCGCTGGCAGCAGACCGGTTTGAGAGTATTCAACATGGATGCCCGCAAGAAGCGAAGCTTGGCTGCGATGTCTGTCGTGTTGTGACAAATGAACGAGTAGTGTTATTCCTTCAGGAGAAAAGGGAGTTGCTAGCAGGATATTCTTTCAACTACATTATTCCCCACTTGTAGAACTTCTAAACGCGTCTCTCGCCTTTTTTTTAGAAGCGGCACGTCGCCGGTTGCAGAAGTTGGAACATTTCACCACCATGACGGCTAAGAATCTCGCGTGTTAAGCGACGGCGGCGACATTTCCCGAACCACCAAAAGTGATTTCTGCATATTTAATCACCTGAGAACAAAGTCTCCGGAAACTAAGTAAACAATGCTCAAGCGTAGATGATGCCGACCAGTCATGCAGCTGTCCGCGAGCCATGGAGGACATGCCGCGAGCAGACGAAAAGTGTACTGGTTGCCACCGACCCCAAGCTATTCCGCTGAAGTACCGGCTTTCTCCCGCCAGAATCCTGATGTGAGAAACAGGTTGAGTTCATCTGTCCGCGAGCCGCGCGGACGAGTCGCGGACGAGGGGAATCGCTGATGTGAGGTCACGTGACGCGCCGTCCGTCCCGCCACATCGGGATTCGATCCGTCGTCTGAATGCACCATTAACGAATGGGTTACGAAAGACCTTCGTGTTTTTCATTTTGGTAACAACTAAACTAACAGTGCTACAGTAGACGCGTACGCATGAAGACGGTTGGGTTGGTGCATACGATGTTTTGTGGCCTGATTAATTCACGTCGCAGTGCCCAAAAACAACGCACAAAAACAGCCCATGATGGCGGCTCCCACATGTCTTACGAAAAATAGTCTATAAGCCATAATTCTTGATTCTGCGAAGCATCCCATTCCCGTTTGGAACTACGGTTAACTCCTTCTGTATATACTTATGACGCACTTGACGTTTTGTTCGTCTCAAATAAATAAATTTTCGTTTTCATTCACTACGCCTCCGTGAGGTGGCACGAGAAGCTACGCAGTGGCGTACTTTGTGGATGCTTTTGCTGCTGATGGCGACTAAGGATGTGAGAGTGCTTTGTGATGCATGGGCCTTCAAAAGCCTCACTGGCCGTGCGATTCACACACCGTGACGTTTGCCACGATTCTACGTTCTAATTGCGCCATATTACACGCGTCAAGGAGACTGCTCGCCTTGGTAGGCGTAGGCAGGAACATTTTGGGGGCGGGAGTAGGGGCACACCACTGGGTGGGGGTTGCCTTGGCAGATGTGGTCGAGTATCATTTTATACTACCTATGTCAAGGAGAAAAAAAAAACATTCAAGGGAGGGGGGCATGGGTTAGGTGTACTACCCCCTGGCTACGACGCTGCCTTCTATCACATGAGGTTCATACAGGAATTTTCTTTTTCAGGAATAGCTCCGAACAAAGGCGCGTACCTCCGAGTTAGGCTATTTGCGTTCCATGCCGAAGAGCAGAGTTTGATTCCCAGTTGACCCAAGGTTTTCATCATTTATTTATTGGAACCTATCTAGTATTTCCGCTGATGGACAACGTTTACTTTTCGTTCACAGCCAGAGTCACTGACGCAAACACCGACTACGGCATTCTAGCGAAACGAGCTCTTTCGCGCTATCGCAATAATACTATAGTCATCCTCACACAGCAGTGATGGAAGGAGTGTTATACCAAATATCGCTTATTCACAATTTATGGACTATATAATGAAAGTACGTGGGGTTTTATGCCTCAAACAACGATATGATTGAGAGACGCCGTACAGTACGACTTATACGCCAGTTGTGCGTTCTTGAAGTAACATGAAAATACGAGTCCATACTAATCTTGCGCTGTAGTGTAAAACACTTCACCCAAATTTCGAATGAGGACATTCTTAAAGCCCGTTGGATCAGCTAGCGCAAACTATCTACGGATGTAGATAGTTCATATATATATATATATATATATATATATATATATATATATATATATATATATATATATATATATATATATATATATATATATATATATATATATATATATATATATATATATATATATATATATATATATATATATATATATATATATGGTAGCAGGTGGCGTCTTTATCATGAAACTGTTTTCTTTGCGTGAACTTTTGCCCGGAAAACAAAGTCAATAGACAGCAATACATGCTGTACACACTAGTGGCGAAGAACAGAGCATCGGTAAAATTTCTCATCTCATCTGTGCTTCTGTCTCTCCCTGACCCG